AGTGTTTAATGAGCAGCTTCTGCAGGACAAGCCTTGTTCGCTCTAGCATCCAGGTAGTGAGAAAGACAGACAAATATTCCCGCCCACATCGGGCTGATGTGCCAGTGGGGAAAAGACAGACACGTGTGAGAAGGACGTAAGTGCTGCAGAAAGAAACAAATGCAGGCTAATGGGAACCTTGAGTGGAGAAGCAGAGATGGTGGTCAGGGTAGACGCGTTGTTGAAGAGGAGAAGGAAGCCATGTGGACATCTGTGGGAAGGCAGTCCAGCAGATGGAGCAGCAGGTGCAAAGGCCCTGGGACAGGACTGTGCCTGGTGGAGCAGAATGGGCAAGGAGGAGAGCGGGAGGCGAGGGGATAATGAAGTGGCAGGAGCAGATTGTGCAGGACCTTGTGGGCCATTCAAACTAAAAGATTTCCCAGTAAAGGAAACTAAAGTTCCTTGGAATTTCTGGCTGATGCCAGGTCTGGGGCAGGAGATGTCCAAGGTGAGCCTGGAACATCTGGTCATACGAGAGAGCAAGAAAGCCATCAAAGACCACCAGCATCACTTCCAAAGGTATCAACCCGCAAAGGCCCCCACTGCTTGGGTGGGCCCTTCGGTGAGGGTAACTACAATGGGTTGAAGCAGGATGTATTTACATCCACGAGGTCATAATGGCTCAGAAGAGAAGAAAGTCTCAGGCATCACCTGAGGATGGTAGGGAATCAATGCATTATTTCGAAAAGTGGTTTATAAAGGGAAAGAATCAGGCCCTTGGCTTGTTTTTCCCGTATGCACGCACAGGTAGGTAGGTAACCCAACAGGATGTAAGGGGCAGCAGCGGTGAAGGGAGGATTCCAGCAGGAAGAGCTAGAATATCAGTGCTTTGTCGCCAGCGAGCTCATCCTCAGTGGCTGCTGGCCTCCTGCAGGGAGAGACAGAGTGTGCATCTGGCCCGGAGGGACACACCAGCCCTGTAGTTGAGCCAAAGGAATCAAAGGAATCAAACCATATAGTCTGACTCCAGTTCTAGAACCAACTGCCAATGTGCAGGGGATACAGAAGACAGGGGAACACGAATGTGGGATCAGTAAACCCCAGACTGTGGGAAGCACTTCAGGACAAACAGCCTGAGTTGCACAGGACAATCACCCCCTCCCACCCTAGTCAAAGCTCCCCATATATGGAACTTCACACTTCTCTTCCTGAGCACGTGAAGTTTTTTTCTGTGTGGATGGCCTTGTGTGTGTGTGTGTGTGTGTGTGTGTGTGTGTGTGTGTGTGTGTGTGTGTGTGTGTGCGCGCATTACCTTTAAGTGTCAGCCTGCTGGCTGCGTCCCCAGACCTCACAGGTCAGAGATTTTCTCCCTTCCTCCCCCCATCCCACCCTGTCACCTACTTGCCATAAACTTTACCCTGACCATCGGTCTCTGCCTCTCAGTTTTGCAGCCCAGAATGGCAGGGACCGTATCCCCTCAGGGATCTAGACAGTGCCTGGTACCGAGTAGGTGCTCAATAAATGCTAAACGAATCTGGGAGGAGAAAAAAATCTGGAGAGTCACCTTAAATCATAATATATTCATAATGGGATAAAGAGTTCAATGTAACTTAGAAGCATTATTGTAACAGTTATTAAGCACCTACTGTGTGCCAGATACACTGGATAAAGCAGTGACCAAAATCAGTTTCCTGCCCTCATGGTGCTGACACTTCAGTGGGGGAGTCAGGTGGCAGACAGGTAAACAAATAAACAATAGGCAGCTATCAGGTTAATAAAGCAATGGTGGGACAGTTAGGCCTTTGGGGACAGGAACCCACAGGTAGGAAGGAGAAGGACACCTCTGGAACACACCCAGGGAGAAACAGTTGGGGATGGGGGCAAAGACCCCGTGGGAAGATCCGGGCTCCTGCTACCTTCCCCAGACACCCAGACAGAAGCATCAGTCCTTCCAGCTTCCACCTCTCGGTTCTTCCAAACACACAAATCCCACGGGGTTGCTCCCCTGCTGAGTATTTCTATGTCTCCCTAGTGCCCAGGGGAGCAAATCCAGGATTCTTAGCCCGGCGCTGGGCGGGACTTGGCCTCCAGACACTCCAAGGCCCGCCCCTACCCCAGGGCCCGGCATCAGGCCCCGCCCACATCCCCGCCCACGCTGTTTGGACTGGGCCACCGCGGCCCACCCCGCCTCACCATTGGACAGCTCGGAGCGCCTCGGGCGCTGGATGGCTGGCGTGGCCGTCAGTTGGGGCCCAGGCCTTGATAAGCCGGCCCTGAGCTTCGAAGGGGCGGGCTTGGGCTCGGGCGCGGGCGCGGCGGGGTTGCGGCTTCAGGTAAAGCGCGGGCTTTGCGAGAAGGCGGACGGCGGGTCTGGGGGGACCAGGGGACACACCAGGAAGGGGCGATGTGCTTCCCGCCCCTCTCCGGGCTCTGCGCACTGCGACGGGGCGGTCCTGGTGTGCTCCGGCTGGGACCCCTCCTCGGGGAGCCCCAGGTGGGCAGCGAGCAGAATGGGGGGCTCCGGATTGGTGGGATCGCCTTCGTCCCACTTCGGGAGCCAGGTGGGGGCTTGTTCGCCCCCTAGCGCCCCGACCGACTCTGGGACTTTCCCAGCGTCGCCCCGGGAGAGCTTGGGGACCGGGTCCAGCCCCTAACGCTGGACCTGAGTGTGGGGGTGGTGATACGGAAACGGTGTCGGGGGGAGGGACGGACGGCCCCCGGGTCCGCGGACAATGGGCAACGGATGGAACCGCCCGGCGGCGCTTCCTGTCGGAAACCGCTCTGTCCCTGCGAGGCCGTCCTGGGGGGTGGTAACCGCGGGGTGCTGCCCTGAGTACCACCCCTCCCGCCATCATCGGCCTCCGCCCCCTCCTCAGGGGTCTGAGGGTCCTGCCGCAGCAGGAGGGGGCCTCAAGCCGGAAAGACGGCCACTTCCCAGGCCCGGGATCCGCACTGCCCGCCGCGCGCCCCACCCCGCAGGTTTCAAGATCTCAGCTCCAAGTCCCGAAATAGGCCCTGGGGCGGGAGTTGGGGGCGTATGGCGTCGGCTCTGACGGCCTAATGAGGGGGTCTCAGGCGTAGGATCCGGATCGAGCCGTGACAGCTCGGGCTGGGAGCGGAGGCGAGGGGAGGGCAGTTGCACGGCCCCACTCCGCTGAGGCTGCAGTCCCAGGAGCAGCCGGGTCACAGGGGGACCCACGGGGGGACAGGCACGCATGCAGGCTGGGGCCCCCTGCCCCTCCCAGGGAGAGGAAGGCTGTTTCTAGAAGGCCATCAAGAAACACTCCTTGTATGCAAATACTGCTCTTGCCCATGTGTGGCCCTGGGCGGGTCACTTAATCTCTCTATGCCTCAGTTTCTCCATCTGTACAATGGAAGAAAGGATAATAAACCTATCTCAGAGTTAGATTTTCTTTTTCTTTTTTAAGCTAATACCCATAAATTGCTTAGCATAGGAGCTGGCCTCTAGTAAATGGCAAAAGCATCGTTATTATTTACCATTTGGGGGGGCACCTAGTTCTCAGCCCGGCCTCTCAGTCCCTGCTCCCGCTGGTTTGGGTCTTAGGGACAGTCCACGGTGGTTATTTTGAGTTCCCAGGGCCTCAGATTTGGGTTGACCAGGTCACTGGAGGCGGGGGCTGACGCCAGAGCCGCACGGCTAGCTGTAAGCAGGCCCAGACCCCTAAGCCCTGGCCCAGGTTTTTTCCACGACACAGCTCTTCCCTGGCAGTTTCCTGAAAACAAGTTGTGAGAGGCATTGGCTGTCCTTGGTGATGACCAGCTGGCCCACCTCGTGCAGCCTGTGCAAAGGGCCAGGAAACAGCTGCTTCAGGGCTGCAGGGGGTGGGGGGGACCCGCCTGCCTTGGGGTGGGGAAGATGCCTGGGACCCAGGCTGGACAGAGGTGGGGAGTGGGAGGGCCCCCCAGCAGGGGAGCAGTGTGGGTCAGGTGGGCTGATGGGTGCTTAGTGGCTGGTGGGTGTCAGGCACCAAGTGGTCATCAGGAGTGCCAGGGGCCACGGGGAAGGTCGCCAGTGGTTAGCACAGTTGAGCAGCGGGTCAGGGAGAAGACAGATCAGGTCTGGCAGGCACCTGCCAGTGGAGGGCTGCACAAGCAAGGGGTCCCCAGAAGATGAGCAGAGCCCAATCTGAGGGTGTTTCCCAAAGGCAATGAACTTAATTGCTTTGTGCCTTAGTTTCCCCATTTGGAAATGTGAATAATAATAATATCTACCTTGCAGGCATCACATTTCGTCAGGCAGGGCACACATTAGGCACTTAATACAAGCTGCTTTCCCTTCCCTGTCAGTTTTTCATCTTCAAAGCCCCATCTTTCCCACCTTCTGCTTTCTGAATCAAAGTTCTGAACTCAGTATTTGTCCTTGTCCTTGTGAAATATCACATTATTAGATGTGGCCCAATCTCCCTCAGTTTCTTAGAACCCCCATCATGTCACCCAAAGGGTCACTGTCCCCCAGTCCCGTGTACGGCCACGGCTCTGACAACCTGGCTGCTTGTGGTTCCAGTACAAGCTCTTAGAAGCGTAGGGCAGAGCCCTGTGGCACTCTACGAGAGACCTCCCAGGAGCTGGGTATCAATTAATTTGCATCCTTGGTGCATCTGGCCCATGACTTACCGTCATTCCTGCAAGGATGGCACAAGTGACCGTTGTAAAAATTCAGATGCTCAATTATGTCTTGTTTGCATTTCTCTAAGAAAAAAAAATTTCAAGAGATGTAGTTGTTTTGTAATATGCAGAATCTGAGCAGTTGAGTTTTTGATGAGACTGTGAGGGGCTTCCAACTCTCGCCTTCCTCTTGTGAGGGTCTAAACCCCACCCCTTTGAGCTTTAGTTTCTAATTTTCCCCAGGGACTGACAGGTCTGGAATGACCACTCCCCACCTCCTACCCCCTGCTACTCACTTTCTGGATTATTTTCCTCTTATTTCCTTTTGATGCCCTTTCTGCAGCCTCCTGTCCAGCAGACTGAGGCGCAGAACCTGGGGGTCCCCACATTCATTCATTCCAGAGTTTCAAGACTTCCTGAGGAGGGAGGAGAAGGCATGTGTGCAGGGTGAGGGGGTGAAGAGAAGGTCGGGGGTCTGTTTACTCAGAGTCCATGCTGACTGCAGAGGCACAGCCACTGGGACAGGGCCCAGCCCCCACCCTCACCTGCCCTGGGGGCCTTTTTCAGGGTGTGTCTGGCGGCGACTCCAGGAGACATGGCCAAGTTTGCCCTGAATCAGAATCTGCCTGGTGAGTGTGCAAAATGGAATATGTGTGTGTGCACAGATGCACACTTGGTGCCTGCACGTGGACAAAGCCCTGCGGTTTCCCCCTTTGCACAGCTGCCAGAGGCCCTTTCTAAATGTCCATGGGATAATGTCATGGTCCTGCCCTAACCCGCCTATGGAGTCCTAGCGTATGTGGATGTAATTGCCACTCCTCATAGCGATCCAGGAGGCCCCCCGAGTCCGGCCCTAGCTCACTTCTAATCTTAGCCCCTCTTCCTTCACCTTCCGGGGCACCTTCACCCCTGCCCTGCTGTTACCCCAGCCCATGCTGCACCCTACACCCCAGGGCCTTTGCATGGCTGATTTCTTGTAGGAACCTTCTGTGCCCGGCTGCCTCCTCCTCATTCGGGGCTCCATTTAGTGGTCCCCTCCGCAGGAAACCTGCCCTGACAGCCTGGGCCAAAGTCACGCCTTTTCTAGTTATTCTCTTTCATCTTATTATTATTGCCTTCAGCATCGTTTGGAATGATCATGTTTATTTATCTCTCTCCTACAACAAGGGGTGTTTGTGTCTTGTTCATGCTGTGTCCCAGCGCCTAGAAAAGTGCTTGGCACACAGTAAGCGCTTAGTAAAGGCGTGATTGCATGACTGGGTGCAGAGAAGAATCTGAGCTTTGGGAGTGCGTGTGCACTATTGCAGCTGTACAGGGTTTGGTGCAGGTGGAGCCAGGCAGGCCTGTCATGAGGCGGTGGGGGACGCGCTCTGTGGGTCCAGTCACTCCCAACCACACCTGACGCCCCCCACTTCCCTGTCATGCCTGCAGACCTGGGAGGCCCTCGCCTGTGCCCCGGCCTAACGGGGGGCGTCCGCAGCCCAAGCTCGCCCTACTCAGTGGAAACGCCCTATGGCTTCCATCTGGATCTGGACTTCCTCAAGTACGTGGAGGAGCTGGAGCGCGGCCCCGCCGCCCGCCGCGCCCCCGGCCCCTCGCCCGCGCGTCGCCCCCGCGTCCCCCGGGCCGGCCTCGCAGGCGCGCGCAGCCCCGGGGCCTGGACTTCCAGCGAGTCCCTGGCCAGTGACGACGGGGGAGCCTCGGGCGCACTGTCCCCGGGCGCGCCGCCTGGGTTCCTTCTGCTCCCGCCGTCGCCGCGCGCGCCTGTGCGCAACCCGCGCGTGGAGCACACGCTCCTGGAGACCAGCAGACGGCTGGAGCTGGCGCAGGCGCACGAGCGCGCGCCCAGCCCTGCCCGCGCGGTCACGCGCAGCCCGTGCGGGTCTGGCCGCAGCAGCCCCGCCCCCGGCTCGGCCCCCACCCCCGCCTCCCCTGGCCCTGCGCAACTGCAGCTGGTGCGCGAGCAGATGGCCGCGGCGCTCCGGCGCCTGCGCGAGCTCGAGAATCAGGCGCGCGCGCTGCCCGAGCTGCAGGAGCAGGTGCGTGCGCTGCGCGCCGAGAAGGCTCGGCTGCTGGCCGGGCGCGTGCAGCCGGAGCCCGACGCGGAGGCCGAGGCGCGCCCGGACAAGCTCGCTCAGCTGCGGCGGCTCACGGAGCGCCTGGCCGCCTCCGAGCGCGGCGTTCGCTCCAGGGTCAGCGCCTGGGCCGATGGCCCCGATGGGTTGGCTTCGAGGCGCAGCGAGAGCGCGCTGCACGTCCTCGATCGGGCGCCCCAGACGAGGGAGGTGGGCGCCCAGGCTTCGCCGGAGATCCAAGCTGCGGAGGCCCAGGTAGCGCCGGAGACCCGGGAGGCCGGTGCGGAGGCGGCCCCAGAGACCCTCGAGGCGGACGCATGGGTGACCGAGGCGCTGCTGGGGTTGCCCGCGGCCGCCGAGCGTGAGCTGGAGCTGCTGCGCACCAGCCTGGAGCACCAGCGCGGAGTGGGCGAGCTCCTGCGGGGCCGGCTGCGGGAACTGGAGGAGGCTCGTGAGGCCGCGGAGGAGGAGGCAGCGGCGGCCCGGCCCCAGCCGCGCGAGGCTGCCACCCAGACCCCGTGGGGCTGTGCGGAGAAGGCCACGCAGACCGAGCCCCCCGAGGAGGCTCCTTCCCTGACGCAGGAGAACCTGCCCGGGCCCACGGACGGGGACAGAGCCGTGGCCCCTGCGGGTGAGTCCGGACCCCTGTCTGAGCCCTGGCTGGCCCGCCGTCGGAGTCGAGCTCAGTACCTTTATCTGCTGCCCGCCAGGCATCCTCAAATCCATCATGAAGAAGAGAGACGGTACGCCTGGTGCCCAGCCCAGTCCCGGACCCAAGAGCCTGCAGTTTGTTGGGGTCCTCAATGGAGAGTGAGCACTTTGCCCCTCCCCGTGGCAGCCCCCGCGGGGACAGACCGCGGTTGGAATCCCAGATCTGCCCCCCGGCCCCCAGTGTGGTCTTGGCAAGCCTCCCTTTCCTCATCTGTAAAGGGGGACAGCTACCCCCACCTCGCGAGAGTCCAGAATGAGCCCACGGGGGAGGCTCAGCCGCCGCCTCCCGACCTGCCCCAGGTACGAGAGCTCATCCAGTGAGGACGACAGTGACAGTGACAGCGCGGACGGCGCTGCCGAGCCCCCGAAGAGCAGCTCCTCGGGCTCCGGGGATGACAGCGGCGGGGGCTCCGACTCCGGCACCCCCGGCCCTTCCAGTAGTGGCGATGTCCGGAACTCCGAGCCTGGTGCGCAGGGGAGGTGAGCGACGCCAGGGGCACCGGGTGGGGACGGCCGCTCTCTCGCGCCCCCGCAGGTCCCTGACCTCTCCCTGCTCCTCGGTAGGTGCGAAATGAGCCCGCGTTTGAGGGAGGCGTGCGCAGCCCTGTACCGGCAGCTGAGCCGACCCCGCGGAGTGGCCCGTGATGGCGTGAGTGTCTCAAGAGCCCTTCCCAGCTGGGGTCGTGGGCCCCATCGGGGTCCTCCTCTGACGCCCTCTTAGGCAAGCGCATTGCGTTTGCTAGACTTGGAGATCCCAAATTCCATCCCGCCGCGCGTGAGGCCCCACCGCTCCCAAGCTCTCCAAAGGGATCTCCGCCCCAGGACTCGCCGATCTTTCCCTGGTTCCCCAAAAGGGACCCGCCCCAAGCCCCAGCCCCACTCCGCACTCCCCAAAGACAAGCGGTTGCCGCCTTCCTCTACTCCAGGTTATCCCCCAGAGCCTGGGACCCACACTGACTGGCCTCCCTCCTTGAAAGGGGTGTGGCCCGATGGGTCCCCATGGCTCCCCTCAGACAACCAGTGACCGTCCTCTCTTGCCTGGACTCCCAGCCCTGCCCCCACACCCTCTCTGCTACCAGGATCTGGGCCACCTGGGCCACCGCTGCACCTTTCCCCCATCCCTGCAGGGCGCGGCGCGCCTGGTGGCCCAGGAGTGGTTTCGAGTGTCGAGCCAGCGGCGCTCGCAGGCGGAGCCAGTGGCCGGAGTGCTGGGTGCCCTGGCGCGCCTGGGACCCGAGCTCCTGGCACACGTGGTGAACCTGGCGGATGGCAACGGGAACACAGCCTTGCACTACAGCGTGTCCCACGGGAACCTGGCCATCTCGAGCTTGCTGCTGGACACTGGTCAGCGCCTTCCTCCAGGGTTATGGACTCCCTCTAGGATGGACTGCCAGGGCCTTTCGACCTCTCCCCTCTCAGCTCTGTCCCCATCTGTCTCTCACTTCGCAGGGGGCTTTGGGATTAGGTAGATGTCATCTTAGGGGGATCATGGACTCCCCAGCCTTAGCTCTCTCATCTAGGAAATGGGGGCGTACTGCCTCCCTCCCCGGGCAGCTGTGGTAAGACGTACAGAAGAGCATGAGGCCTGCAGTAGGGGGTCAGTCAGGGGTCGCCAGGCCTTCTGCCCCTGCATCTCCCGCCCTGGCTTCCACCTCGTCCCTGGGCCCCACCTCAGCCACCGGCCCCTCCGGCCTGGAGGGGAGGTCCTCACTGGTCAGGGGTCTCACTGCCCTCCACCCCAGGACCGGCCTGGGGTCCCTTTCCCACATTTCTATTACTTGCCTCTTACCTTCATTCCCTGCCCAACTCTTCCCCCTCTGGAGCACCAGATACACGTACCCGGGTGTTGCTGAGCCCACAGACATACTGGGACCCCAGGAGGAACCAGTGCGGTGCTCGTTCCCCATACAGCTTCCTTCCCCATGGGACACACAGCAGAGGGGATGGTGGATAGTGGACTGCCCCCCACGAGCTGTCCTGCCTGGGTGTCCTTCATGCTCAGGGTCCTGGGGGCTGCCTGCAGAGGTGTTTTGCTCCTACTGCAGGCTGAGGAAGGTCCCCTTGTCCCCTCCTTCACCCCCCACTCCCAACAGAGATCCTCCCATTCTCTGCAGGTCCTGTTGACCTGGGGAAGCGGCACTGCTGCTCTGGGCCTGGCAGGGGGCTGGGGCTCGGGAGGACAAGGATGGGACAATGCATAAATTCAAAAGATGTCTCCTGGGCATCTCCTGCCTTCGAAGGGGCCGGGTTCTGGGGCTGTGGCAGGGAGTAAAGCCCTGGCCATGGGTCACAAGAGGCCGGAGGCTCCTGCGTTCAAACCTGATCCAGGTCCTTTCCTCAAAGTCCCCCACTTTGTGCCCCTCCTGCCCATTCATGCCCCCCAGACTGTTCCTAGCCTCGTGCAGTTTCCAGAACAGTGGGGTACATAAGCATGAAACAGTCACTCTGACAAATGTGGTCCCAACAGAGGTGGGTGCTGGGAGGGACACATGCCTGGGAGGCTAACAGAACCAACCCAGAAGCAGCAGAGCTGATGCTTGTGTTCAGCCAGGGATGGGCAGCAGCAGCGAGGCTGTGTCCCAGGGCTGCTGTTAACTGTATACACAATGGGTGGCTTAAAATAACAGCGATCCATTGCCTTGGGGTTCAGACCAGAAACGGTCAGTCAAGGTGTGGCAGGGCTGCTTCCTTTTGAGGGGCTCCAAGGGAGAATGTGCTCCATGCCTTTCCCCTGACTTCTGGAGGTTGCCAGGGACTCTCTTTGGTCCGTGGCTCAAGACAACTTCTCTCTTCCCTGCCTTCCATGTCAGTGTCCCCTTTGTCTCTGTGCCTCTCCTAAGGACAGCAGTCATAGGAAATCAGGGCCGACCGGTGACCTCATCTTAACTTGACTGTATTTGCAAAGACCCTATTCCCAATTAAGGTCACGTTCACAGGTACTGGGAGGGGGGTGAGGACTTTGACTTTTCTTCTTGGGAGACATGATTCAATCTGCGACACAGGCTTGGGGGAGAAAGGATTGCAGAGGAAGGAACAGAAGGTGGGTAGCGGAGGACCTCAGAGGCTGTGGCGGACAGCAGCCTGTATTCCAGAAGCAATAGGGAGACACGGGAGGGTCTAAATCACATGTGACCGGGCCTGTGATTTTCTGATCTGCTGCGTGGAGCTGGGGCGGATTCAGACACCAGGGCGGACCGGGGGACACCGTTCTCCAGGGAAATGACAATGGTGGTTTGGTGGGTGGGAGCCACAGAAACAGGAACGTCCTTTCATTGAGTACCTACTATATGCCAGGTGTTGCTCTAGGTACTGGGGGACATGGCAGTGAGCCAAACCAAGTCCCCAGGCCAGCTTGAAATAGGGAGTGAGATCCGAGCAGAGGCCTGAAGGAGAGGGAAGCATGTGGCTCTAGGTGGGAGAGACTTCGAGGCAGAGGGAACAGTAAATTCCCTACCCCGTGACCTCCTGACGTGATGAACCTGAGGCCTGGCAGGCGGTGACCAGGCTGGGTGGGGCTGGGAGTGTTGGCTTCTCTGTTAACTGACCACCCCCAACCCAGGGGTCTGCGAGGTTGACCGCCAGAATCGAGCCGGCTACTCGGCTCTCATGCTGGCTGCGCTCACTTCTGTGGGGAGAGAGGAGGACATGGCTGTGGTCCAGAGGCTCTTCCACACGGGCAACGTTAATGCCAAGGCCACCCAGGTGCGTGGACCCATCCTCTCTGGCTCCAGGTCCACTTTGAGGGCCAACCCGTCTCTGACCTCCCTTTCCCCGGCACCTTTCCCAGTCCTGTCTGCTTCCTTACTCCCCAGACAGGGCAGACAGCCCTCATGCTGGCCATCAGCCACGGCCGTCAAGACATGGTGGCAGCCCTGCTGGCCTGTGGGGCAGATGTGAACGCACAGGATGCAGATGGGGCCACAGCGCTCATGTGTGCCAGCGAGTACGGGCGCCTGGATACTGTTCGGTTGCTGCTGGCCCAGCCAGGCTGCGATCCCGCCCTCCTGGACAACGTGAGCCACCCTGTGGCTGGTATGGGGCGGCAGGGTATCCATGCCGTGGTCCAGGGACCTGACTGTCCCTATCATTCCTCAGGAGGGCACCAGTGCCCTGGCCATTGCCCTGGAGGCTGAGCAGGATGAGGTGGCTGCTCTGCTGCACGCCCACCTGAGTGCAGGCCAGCCCAGTCCCCCGGTGAGTGCACAGCTTCCTGGATGGTCTGGTTCAAGGAGGCCTCCCTGCTCCCCTTGGGGAGCACCAGGGGTGGGGAACTGGGTCTCAATTTCCCCACGTGGCTGGGACTTCATGTTCAACCTGCAAAATGCCCATGGGTCACACACCTCCACAGGTGAAATCTCCTAAGGGCAGAGTACAGCCATTAGACTTAGGTGAGACCTTCCCCGTTGGGGACTCCTATTACGTTGCAAATACGGGGCCTTGGTAGGAGGACTGACTGGGTTAGAGGATGCAGACTTTACAAGTCAGAGCTTCAGGACTTAAGACTGGAGACTTCCTGCCAGCAGCAGGAAGAGTCCCCAAGGGGAAGAGGCTTATATTCAACAGGAGAGTGCCGGGCTGGCTGTAGCACTGTCATGACTAAAGTCGCCCAATTGGCCTGCTGGTCCTGCACCCTCCCACAGATGTGGGAAAGGAGGCACGTTGGTCACATACCCCTTCCAGGTCAGATAGGGGTGAGATGAGATTCAAACCCAGGCAGCCTGGCTCCACTGTAAAGGGTGGGGTTCCTCCTTAGGCATGACCAGGGCAGACCTCCACTGGGTTAAGTACCCTTGAGTCTAAGGACTGAGACCAGGTGCCTTGCCCACAGGAGACCACGACAGGACACACACCCCCTCTCTCTCACCAGTCGCCCCCTGATTCCCCGATGGCTGTGGCTGGTGACGGATGCAGTGGCAATCGAGAGGACCCCCCATTTCAGTGAGCGGCCTGACATGCTGCACACCTCCACCTGAGGAGTGACCTTCCCCCACCCCTGCTCAGCCTCAGTGGCACAGAAGGGCCAGGGTCGCTGTCCAGATGCTATCCCTGGCCCAAGAGAAAGGCCTGGATCACTCAGTGTCCAACTGAGGTTCACCTTGGGCCAGCAGGCTGAGGTGGGGGCTGAAGAGTGACACAGACCCAGTCCACCCACTCCCCAAACCTTCTCTAATAAAACATTCCTAACTCAGTTTAGGTCTTATTTTGGGGACACAAACACACATAGATCTTCCTCCTCAAAAACAAAGTGCCTTGTGGGGAAAGACCCCACCCCCCACCCTACCCCACTACCACACACACCCAGGTTTCCAGAGTGCAAAGGGTCAGTGACTACCTGGGGCCCCACTGGAAAATTCTATAAACCCAGTGACAATCCACACAAGAACCTGAGTTTACATACAATAGAAATGCTTTATTAACAGTTGCAGAACATCCCCTGTGAGCCAAGTGGTCGACCTCCAGGACCCTGTAAACAGACGCAAGTACTTCATGCTGACAGGCTCCCCAGCAAATGGCAAACTCCCTCTGCCCCGTCTTGCCAATCTCAGCACACTTCCTACACTACCCACTCCAAGAGCCCCTCACCTCCGGGCTTGGCAAAGCCCTCCTTCCACCAGCCACGGGTCTAATGGGGGTCCGCTCTGTCCCCCACTCTGGCCCTGGACTCACCAGCCACAAGATCAGCGCAGCCTCCGAGCCTCTCGTTCAGATTCCAGTAGGGTGAGCACGTCGCCCTCGCGCACGGGGCCTTTCACGTTGCGGATGATGGAACGGCTCGTATCGTCCATGAATTCCACGCGCACCTAAAGGAGCCCATCGCGTGGACGGGAAGGAGTCAGGGCCGGCCACTGATAGACACCGTGGCGTGAGCAGTCGACTGGGATTCAGGGAATGTGCCGGAGCCAGTCCAAGGATATTCAGAAAGGGGGCGCGGCTGGGAGGGGCTGGGCGGGGAGAAAAGATGAAAAGGAGGGACGAGACGCGGAGAACAGCTCTCGAGCGTCAAAAGCAGCCACCGAGGAGGGCAACTGCAACTCCGGGCGCCTTGGGGGCGGGAGCACACTTGGCAGAGCGTGAGCCAGCAAGCGGGCATTGAGCCCGGGCAATGAGGTCGATGGAGCTCAGACCTGGGCAGCGTCTTGGGGAGATTCGGACCCTCCGGGGGCCCTGCGATAAAGGCGGCGTCGGTTCTCGGGTTCCAGTCGGCAGGGCAGGCCTAGGGCACGAAAGGGTCATCAGGGCTCAGACCCCGGGGCGCCCCGACCCGTCCGCTCACCTGCGTGCACTGTCCCTGCGAGCCGGTCCTACCCAGCACCTTGGTGACCTGGAGGAACGAAGCTGGGGTCAGACCTCGCCTGCCCGCTCCCCCTACTCCCTCCTCCGGGCCCCCGCCTCACCCTGGCCAGCTTGATGGGCTGCACACGACTCGTGTCCATGATGGCGGCGCGGCGGCGGCCGGTCGGAGAGGAGTCACGTGCTCCGGGGTGGGCTTTTATAGAACGTCCAGCCCCCGCCCACTTTTCCTCTCGCGAGACTGTAGGCTCGCTTCCCAGCAGCCCTCGCGCCACAGACGGCGCTGGCGCCCTTCAGGGCGGTCGGAAGATGGCTTCCGCCACTCGTTTCATCCAGCGGCTGCGGAACTGGGCGTCAGGGGTGCGCAGGGCCGCCCTGGAGAGGCTGTGGGCTCGGGGCAGCCCCGACTCGCTTCTGCTGCTCCCTTCCCTCCTGCAGCCTTGGGATTTGAGGCCTTTAGTGCTGAGACCCCCCTAGGCCGGGACCTCTCCCTCAGCCCGCCGCTCCCGACTGGTGACCCCTTCAGCCCCGGACACATCCACCTCCACCCCCAGCCCTTGACCCTCCCTTGGCCGGGAACCCCCTCACGCCTGAGATCTGCCTCGTCCCGGATCTCTCAGCCCTGGTTCCTGCGGCCCCAGCCCCCGGCTTGCCTCTCCACCGCCGGGGCCCATACCGCTGTACCCGACTGCCCATCTCTGGCCTTCCCTTCATCTGTCCATTCCCGGGATGCCCCTGTCCCCTCTCCCTCTCCTTTCCTGGGGTACCCTGCGTGCTGACCGTTCTCTCCTGCTCCCACAGCAAGACTTGCAGGCGAAGCTGCAGCTGCGCTACCAGGAGATCTCCAAGCGGTGAGCAGGCCCCGCTCGCTGCCCAGCCTCCAGCCCTGTCCTGTCCTTTCTCCATCAAAACCAAAATCCGTATTCCTCTAGACCCCTGGAGTGCCGGGCCGAAATCCTGCTTCCAGTCCTTGGCAGGCAGTGGAGGCAGGAGGCAGAGATTTGCTTTTAACTCTGCTGGACTCCCATCAGAGCCAGCTGCTCGTGGAACAGCCAATGTGGGCGCGAATTCGGAGTGGGAATCATGTAATTGTGGTCCTCAATGTGGTACTGCCAGTTAATGTTACATCCCCATGCTACACATGAAAGAATATGAGGCTCAGGGAGACTAAGTCATTTTGCTCAAAGTCACTCAGAAGCTAAGTGTCACAAAGTGACAGCTGGGATTTGAACCCACAAGTGTCTTGATTTCAAATTCATTTATATCCAACAATTACGTGACGTTTATAAAAGCCCCTGTTATGTCCTCAGCCTTGGGGATGCTAGTGCAAACGAGGAGTTCTTATCCTCATTCCCTTCATGGAGCTTATATCCTAGGGATAGAGAAACACAGTCAAGAAAAACGTTTCTGGGCAGAGGGGTCAGCGAGTGCCAAGGTCTGACAGAGCCAAAAGTTGGAAGGAGACCAGTGTGACTGAAATCCCCTGGGAAAAGGGGGAGAGGAAGTGAGAGTGGGAGGGGGCCAGGCAAAAGGAAGGCGACCATTAAGGGTTAGCACGAAAGGAAAAAAACATAGCACTAAAATAACCAGGTTTACGTGAATGCCTACATGTTGCAACCGTTTCCACGTATCAAAAGTTTTATATTGCCTTACCATCCGTAGTGGATGGGCCAGTTGAGCAAACAGTTCTATTAAATTTGAGTTCTTCGTGGTAACACTGCCCCCTAGTGATATGTTTGGGCCTTTCAGTTGGGCAGGGGTTCTTAATCTTTCTGTGCTGGGTTGACAAAAACACCTTGGCAGACGCTGCCGAAGGTCCTCTCTGCGCTCCAGGGGTTAAGCAGAAGCTAATTTCCACACAGCGTATTGTTTTCATGATCAGATTTTCAAACTTTGTTTTTATCTGTATTTCTCATTTTTAAGAATACAATGACTATCACTTGTTTTAAGAAAAACTTGAACCCTGGCAAAATGGTTCTCAGACAAAAAAGTTGTTTTAAAACATGGTTGAATGAAAACCCAGTCTTCTTAAGATTTTTCCTAGCTTTTCTGCCTTGCCTTTACGCTGTTTTTTCAAGGAAGCTCCTTTTTTTATTTTGAGGTTAGTTCCTTTTTGGGCCTCAAGCTTCTTTGTAAATGTACCCCAGGCTTTGGCCCAAGCCAGGACAGAACTCTGTTTAAGCACCCTCTGGCCGCTAAGACCAGGAGGTGCCAGGAAATGCAGAGACCTCTGAGGACAAGGTGCTCTTTGAGTAAAGAGGTTTGACTACAGCACGCTCCTCAGAGAGCTCCTGCGGTAACAGGAAATCCAGGGGTCCTGCAGTCTGGCCTCTGGGGACAGAGCTTCTCAGGACGAGCCAAGTCTGGGCTGTCACTGGGTAGGTGTTGGGCAGAGCCTCAGACTCCGGCCTTTTGAGTACCTGCAGATGCAGGTGAGGCCAGCTGCCAAGCTCTGGGTTGGGGGTGGGGGTGAGGGAACAGGCCTGGGTGTCCCGTCTGGGCCTCCTCCATCCCCACTGCATTTGGGACAGGCAGGAGACCCGATGGGGCACACCAGGCCTCGCCTTCCAGCACCTTCGCATCTGAAGCAGGAGCTGCCTGCTCCCTGCTTCTGGGCCCAGGGTGACCCCCCACATCCCCCAGTCATAAGTCCATGCCACTGCACCAAGGGAAGCCCCTGGTCTGCAGCCCGTCCCGGGGTCCTGTGACTAAGTGAAGGGCCATGTCAGCACAGCTAGGAAGTGACAGCGACTCACAGTTTGCTTCAATGCCAGTGTCCTCTTTCCCCTCAGAACGCAGCCTCCTCCCAAGCTGCCCGTGGGCCCCAGCCACAAGCTCTCCAACAACTACTACTGCATGCGTGATGGCCGCCGAGAGTCGGTGCCACCCTTGGTCCTTGTGTCCTCGCAGAAGGTGCTGGTGTCGGGCGAGCCAGCGGGCAGGTGAGGCCGCCACAGAGCCCCTCCTGCACCCAGACCTTTGTCCTGTGGGTGCTTTCCAGGGGCCCATTTATGGAGCATCGGCTGTGCCGGGAACTTGCCTTCTGAGAGTCATTTAATCCCCACTCAGCCCGGGGTGAGAGTTAGGGCCTCAGCAGGATACAGAGCTCCAGAGCCCCTCCAAGGGCCCTGGGATAAGACCTGGCACTTATTTTTGTTATTTTGGTTTTTTGAGATATAGTTGACATGCAACATATTAGTTTTGGGTGTGCAACCTAGATTCAATATGTGTATATATGGCACAGTGAGCATCCGAATACGTCTACTGAACGTACATAGTTAAATAGTTTTTCTTGTGATGAGAACTTTTGAGATCTACCCCCTTAGCGACCTGCAAACATACTGTGTAGTTAGAACTCAGCGAACGGGCAGTGTCACAGTCATCTTCCAACTTACCAGGGTCCGGAACCAGACTGTGGCAAGCTGCCCTCCTTCCCCACACCCTGGGCTGTCTTCACTTCATAAGGAGGCCGCCGCCTGCCTCTTCCAGCTCCTTCAGGCTTCTGGGAGGTGGAAGGGCCTGGAACCCCTGCTCTGGGCGGTCGGGCGGTGGGGGGCTCCTCTGCGATGAGAGCCTGCACGCCTGCCCCTCTCCTTCCTTGCGAGCATGCGCAAGCCTCTCAGGCCCCAGGCCCCAGGGACTCGGGTGTTGGGGAGGCCCTTGCCTCAGATTTTACAGTGTCTCCTCGGGGCTCACCCTGTGCCGACCCTGGGTGTTCCTCAATTGCACAGTGACCCTCAGCCCATTAGCCTGGGGCTGGGGCCTGGTCTTACTAGCGCTGTGCCCACAGGCAGGGCCTGCCACATAGCAGGTGCTCAGTACCTGAGAGAAGGAGGAGCAGTGGACACACATCACTGATTGCTTGGCCCTTTTGCCAGCATCCTGTTTTGGGGTGACAGGAGTGGGGTGCCCATCCCTCCTGGGGCCTCCAGTCCGGGCCCAGGGGCTGGGCAGGCCAACTGGGGGCCGACACTGGGTGGGGAGACCCCTCTGAGGGGGTTGGGCATTCTGAAACACCCCAAACTCGGGCCTCTGGATCCACGGTCTCAGCAGGCGTGCTTGTGGGGGGCAGGAGCGGTCTCTCTTGGTCCCCTCCGCGCTGCTCTTTGGAAGCCTGGCCCTAAGCAACGTGCTGATCTTCCAGCTCCGCTGCAGCTGCTGCTGAGAGGGAGGCCGCTGAGAAGAAGGCAGTGACGCCGGCCCCTCCCATAAAGAAGTGGAAGCTGTCGGAGGACCAGCCTTACCTGTGACGCTGCCCTCGGCCACCTGCAGCCTTTGTCTCCTGGGATTCCCTCTGGGGACAACATGACCTAATTTATGACAAATAGATTGAGCTCTCCTGTATCACTTCCGTTTTTACCCCTGGAGCAACATCCAGCTGCTTGGACTTGGGGTGAAGCTGGTGCTGAGTCTCTTCTTCTGTCAGTGCTCCAGGAGCGGGGCAGGGCTAGTGGTTCTCAAGAGTGCAGGGTGACACGCTGTCACGGGCCCAGACGTGTCACCTTCCTTCCATCCCTCAGGGTGGCGGGGTGGGCCCCAGGGCCTCAGGGTGTTCGGGGACACTGGCTGAAGGACAGCGAGGCCGAGCACGACTGCTCCCTTAGGTCTCTCGTGAGCTCCCCCGCCACTGCCGCCCCACCTGACATCGACTGGCCTGCAGCTCAAGGCGGACGGCAGAGGACAGTGGGCAGCTGCCAGGGCAGGCCCGCCTAGAGCGGGTGAGGAGAGCTCCCCCTGAGCCACACCCTTTCAGCGATGCCTGGGGGACTAGAAGGTCATCCAGGAATGGAGGGCTGGCCCTGTGGAGGGAGGGGCAGGAGAGCAAATGCTGAAAAGGGCGAGGCTCGGGTCTGGGCACGGGAGCAGTGGGGACCTACGCAGTGGGGAGTATCGTGGCTGCCCTGTGGAGGAACCCCGCAGCCCATGAGTAGGGGAAGATGAGCTGTGCGCCAGGGGAGTGTTGAGACTGCCCTGCCCCCTGGAAGGGTAGAGTAAGGCAGGAAAGGTCACAGTACCAGGCCTGAGGTATAAGTGCCCTAGAGGGCTATCCACACGCTAAAGCTCATCAGAGAAAGTCCGGTGGGCTGAATACCCTGGGAAGGCTTCCTGGAGAAGGTGGGATTCTGGCTGGAGCAAAGGATGAATCCGTTTCAGAAAGATTGGGAGGAGGAGGAAGGTGGGGCAGGGTGTGCAGAGGCCACAGGGAGGGCAACCAGGCAAGATGTACCTTTGAAAGTCACTGAATAGTTAGTTTTATGACCCAGAGTTGACATTTGGCAAGGGGGTGGGCTAACATCCCCCGAGCTCCTGTGTGCCCAGTGCTGAACTGAACACATTCTACCCATGATCTCAGCCCCACCTTGGAGCAATCCTTTGATGACTGCACACAACTGCTACAAATTCATGGCTTCTTCAGCCCTTATCCCTTGTCCCCAGGCGCCTCCCTCACCAAGGTGCGGCTTCACAGGCAGTGGCAGTCCCCTTTGCCACCCTTTCCATCTGCCTCTGCCCCTGTACACCTTTGCCTCTTGCACGGTTCCCCTGGGGATCTGGGAGATTTTGAAAAAACAAAACCCCCAAAGTAGCTATAACCTCCAACATTTTCAAATAGTGAAGCATGCCAGTCAGTTTGCAAGCAGAGCCCCTTCTGGGACAATCTGGACGCTTCAGTGTTGCTTCAGGAGGAACCTGGGAGGGCTGGGACACCGGCTTGCCTGGAGTCTGCTGGCAGTCAGATGCACTGCTTCCGAAGGCAGAGCTGAGGATAAATACTTTCTAGAAGAAAATAACAGCAAGCCGACTGGAAAGAAAGCTTGCCAAAGTTTGTATTTCATGCGCCTACTGGGTGCGCCTGAGAAGGGAAAACCGAAGATCTGCCTTCACATACCTCGTTTCCGAAGTGGAGACTAAAGCCCACCTCCCTCTGTGGGCCGGGAGGGGGCGGGAGCGCATCCGGGGGCGAGGGGCAGGGCCGGAGGGAAGCCTGGAACTGGAGAGGTCTTTGGTTTATCCACCAAATAGTTAAGAGCCTGCCACGCGAGGACACGTGTCCTGGACACGCTCCCTGTCCTGGAGCTGCAGTTCTGGGAGGGAGGCGGGTAATCGGGCATTAAAGCAAATTAATTAAAACTTGGAACCAGTCGGGTGCCGGCAAGTAGCGGGAGGAGGGGCGGTTGGGGGGAGCCTGTGTGAGGGGCGTGGCTGCCGTATTAAATAGCATGGCTGGGCAGTTCATTTGCTGCAGGATACCTGTGGAACGTTAAGTATTGTAAGTTGACATCGACAAATTCAGTTCATCCCCAGAAGTTTCTAACTTCAAGTGGCCCCCACACCTTTCAATATGCTTTGTCCTTGAGAATAAGACCTGCAAACTTGGGGGATCCTCCGTATTCGAGCATTTACGGTAACCCTAGCCGCGGGCGCCGCGGATTCGCCAGGCTGGGGCCCCGGCCCCGCCCCGCCCCGTGTGCGCCGGCGCGGGGAGCAGAGCGAGTGGCCCGCGGCGTGTGGCCCGTGCCTCGGCGGGGACGCGCGACCAGCCGCTGGATGGCGCCGGACGGAGCGCGGTGCACGGCGGTCCTGGGATTGGCGCTGCGGCTGCTGCTCGGCTTCGGGATGGTCGCGGAGGCCGCCCCGACCCGGTCCTTGGCACACACCCCCGGTGAGTTAGCTCTGCGCAGCCAGCGCGCCGGCCCCCTGGCAGCCCATCCCCGCCCGGGCGCCGGCAGCGCCTCTCCATTGGTTGCACCGCGCGTCCGTCCCGGACACTCCCCCGGCACTTCTCCCCGGACTCAGCCGCGAGCCCGGCCTGGTGCGAGCCGCGTCCAGCGCGGGACCCTTGGTCTGGGTGGCTCTGCCTGCCTTTGGGCCCTGCTCCGTACCTCCTCACACCCCACACTCGCTTTGCTCGGTCGGGCCCCGTTGTCACCTCCCGGACACCTTTCTGCCCAGCGTAGGCGGGAAGGGTAGGTGCAGGCTCTGGCCGGCTGACCTTTAGCCGTGCGGGGCCGAACACCTGGTGCCTCCAGTAGCAGCTGCATCTTGCAAACCTTCGCGCCCGAGTTGGAGGCCATGTGGCTGAGTGTCCTCAGCGACGATCGCCAGCCCTCCCAATCTACACCTTCTCTCGCGCGCCCTTCGTGTGACCCCGGTTCCTCCGACACGTTTGCCCTGCCCTGAGTGATCTTGGTGGCCCTCCATGAGGTTCCCAGAGGCAGCTGGGCGGGTTAGAGTGCCCTGCCTGTGCGCACAGGTGCCCTGACTTTCAGCTGTGAGCTCAGGTTGACATCCTTAACCCGTTCCTCCGTGCGTTCCCTTCTCACCTAGCTCCCCGCCTCCCCATAAAGCCCCTGCCTTTCCAGGAGCAAGGTTCCTGGTTCCTTCAAGGGGGCAGGACTTGCATTAACCAAGCACCAAACTCTTTACTCAGCAGCCTCCCCTCCCGAGGGCACTTAGGTGGGGACACTGAGGCCGGGAGGGGAAGTCACTGTTCGCTGCAACTCCTGTCCACTCCCCAGCCCTGTGAGGCCAGGTCTCCTCCGCTCTGCTGATTACTTTAAAGGGACACACACTTAGTAAACCAAGGAGGGAGTTCAGAGGTTGTCAGCCTTCAGATAGGCCTGGGAGGAAGCCACCCTTAGAGGGCAGGGAAGGAAGTCGGCTCCAGGTGGTCTACAGCTCTTCCTGGCTCCATGGATGTAGCTGGGCTTGGAGACTTTCAGAGGCTCTGGCTTTGGGGAGTAGGGGGTTGGGAGGCTCAGATCCCTGCGACTAAAGGTGGAAGGGGCGAGAAGAGGCCAGGACTGAATGGAGTGGGGTCAGGCGGGGGCCCAGCCAGGTGTTTGCCCCGCTGCACTCAGGATGCAGCCCTGAGGGTGCCGCCCCTTTCCTCAGTCCATCAGACCCCCGCCTACTTGCCCAGGTCCCAGCCCTGTGTGCCCCTCCGGGTCTGCGTGAGGCTGGAGGCTCTCTGCCCAGCCTTGTCCGTGAAGGCTCAGATCTTATCTGGACTTAGCCTAGACTCCCCTGTGATTTGTGTCCACTTATTGTCTGGCACCACCCTGGCCCTGCAGTCACAAGGTCACAGCTCTGGCCTGTTGGAGGACCATTGTTCTAAGTGGATGGCAGACCTTCAGGGCAGGAAATAAGCTGAGATCTGAGGGCCAAGGAGGAAACCACCAGGTGCTCAGCGGTGGGAGGCCAAGGCCGGAAAGTGGAGAAGAGCTAGGCCTCTAGGGGAAGCAGTGTGGAGGCCAGGAAAAACAGAGACGGAGGTGAGGTCCGGGAAGGGTTCATGGCCGGGCCAGGCCTTCCGGGCCACGCAGAGGGGGTAGGGTTTGGTTGTGAGAGGCTGGGGGTCAAGGGCAGGTTTTGAGCACAGAGGACCCAAGGGTGGGGGGACCCAATGATGTGACTGACTGGTCTCCAGTGCCTGGATGGAGATGGGTGGGGGCCTGGTGAGCAGGTGGCTCATTTAGGATGGGGGAAGAGGCCAGGTGTGGGAGGAATGCAGGAGGTGAATGGACGAGGCTGGGGGATGAAGCGGGTCCTCTCCCCAGGGCCACCCCTGCTGCCCTGACTGTGGGCCCTAATCCAGGACAGGTTCAGAGATGGTCCCTGTCCCGGTGTGTCTAACCATGGATCCTGGGGAGGCCATTTGGAGCCTTGTAAAGACCTCGAGCTCAGCGAGACCTGGGTTCGAATCCTGCGTCCGCTGATACCTCTGCAGCCGCGGCGTTTCCTTCTGTATATGGGGTCACAGTAGGGCTCAAAAGGGTAGCCACCAGTGTAGGTCAGCGCCCTGGGACCCAGCCTGTCTCCTGGTGGCGGCAGCCAGTGGCCACTCTGCTCCTGGACAAGAGTCCAGACTCAGGCCTGTGTGGCCTCACTTGTGTGCATCCTGCAGGCTCGTGCCCGCCCTCCCACTTCCAGTGCCGCACCCCTGGCTTCTGCGTGCCCCTGGCCTGGCGCTGTGACGGCGACCCGGACTGCCCCGAACACAGCGAGGAGGAGGAGTGTGGTGAGTGGCCTCCGGAGGAGTCTGAGGGTGCATGGGGGACGGGGTGGGTGTTAGGCTTGAAAAGAGGGTGGTCTCCAGGGAGGCGGAGTTAGTGGAAACTTGGGAAGAGGGGTTACAGGGAGGCAACTCCTTGGAAGGTGGCGCCCACATGCAGGGGGCTGGAGCCTTCAGGGTGGGCGGGCTTTATGGGGTCAGCTGTCCTTGGGAGGTGGGGCTTCATGGGGGGTGGGGAGTACCCTGGCCTTCCTGGTAGGCGATTGGGACCTGACTGATCCTGTACCGCAGGGACGGAACTGTGTGCTCAGGAT